GTTACGGTTACTTATCACTTTATTGCATCAAAAACGACGTTGTAATCATTTTCGACCAGATTCAATCATTAAACGAATTCGGTCATCTCGAAAAAGCTGAGCGTAAACACGAATTAATCGATTACTTTAACGTTTTTTTGGTAGGTTTTTGTGGATTTGGCGCCTTTCTTATTATCGTAACTCCTTTATTTGACTTGAAAAATTGTGCGAGATTTAATTTGGAACATAACACGACGATTTTGTGCGGATTTGCGTTGGGGTTTAAATATCCTTATGATATTAGCAGTGGATTTTTGTATTTTTTTCATTGGGTGTTTGAATTTTTCGCCGGGATTTTATTTATTACGAAGGGAACCGTTTTTATTGGATTAATAAATTCTTTCTATATGGCGATTGTATCGCGTTGCGAAGATTTATGTGATCAATTAAGATTGTTTAACTCTTACGATGATTTTTATGAAAGGAGGAAGTGTTTATATCATTGCATTTGTTATCACAACCGAATTATTAAGTAAGTTAATAAAGATTGAAATTATTTATATATGTATTGGATTAGACTATAACTAGTTAGTTTTGTTATGATTTTCGTTTAGTTTTAAGAAAAATTATTACGATGTGCAAGAAAAAGGTAATTCATTGAAGTCTATGACCTTCAAATTTTGACCTTGACATTTACATTTTGACAGGTATTGATTTTGGTGACTTTTCAGACAATTTTCGATTCTAAAACCATGCGAGATCGATAGATCGTGTCGATTTAGCCCTTAGGCCGCAATTTCATCCATTTCTGAATCATTTTATATATCTAAATTCCATTTTTTTCTTTCCAAACTTTAACATCAAATTACGAGTTCCTCGAAGGAATTTGACACCGGAAAGCGCGATTATCTAAAAGATCGAAAAATTAGCTACGAAATTACAAAATCTTAATCAAATTTAAAGTTTATTAATAATTTCGAATATTTTCAAAGTTGATAGTTATTTTCTTTAAAAAATCAATCATTTTGGCCAACCTGTGTAATTTATAATTCCCGCCATTTTATCAACCAATCAGAGAGCCCAGATTCAAACTGAGGCGACCAAATTCGAATATCCAAGAAGCCTTTGTCCAAAAAGGGTATATAAGGCCGCGCAAATTTGACACCGGGAGACATGGGGGGGGATCTCAAATGCATGAAAATTGTAACCGTCGTCAACGCCATCCGATGTCACCGTCGATAACTAATTCTACACAAATTCAAATTTAATCAACCTTTAAGGTGGCTTATATTTCATTTCTTTTTTTTGTATTCATCTTTGATTAATTAAGTCAAATTAAGCGATGTCAAATATAAATGATATTGAAAAATCAGTTAATTTGTTTAATAAGTGTAATTTATGAGTGTAATTTTGTAATTAAGTGTAAAAAAGTGTAAAAAACATTTAAAATTATTTAAATGATAAAAATGTCGGTTATTAATCCTTGCTGTGTACCATCTTGCGATGATAGACATTAAAAGGTAAATTATAAAAATTATTAATTAATACAGCATAATTACTTTCATTCTAGTATTTCTAGATATTATTTTCCGACCGACCCTATTATTCGAATGGCTTGGCTCTCTGGAATACACAATTCAAAATTATTTGAATTAATTAATGATAAGCATCTAAGTAACTATTGTGTTTGCCCCAACCATTTTGCAACAATGTGCAAATATGTTGAGAAGAAGAGCTGTCAATTATACCTTACGGGGACACAATCCGGGGACACACTGTATATATGTTTTTTAAATCATTTAGATTTGTAAGAAAAAACTATAAATAATTGCTTTTTGTCTCCACAAGATCAACCAACAGAAGATACTTCAGGTATGCTGCATGGTATGAAATTAATTATTTAGTTTCATAATTCATAATTATATAATTCATTATATACCATATTATATATGTTTATACCCCGACATGCCATATATATATATTTATACCCCCACATATGTATGCCCCGACAAACTTCCTGGTGTAACTAGTTCAACTGTTATGCAAGTCTATCCTGGATGTAGTAAACAACAAGGTTGCGAAATTGCTTCAACCTCATTTTGTGAGGAAAATTCTGTCATTTCATTAGAAATGAATTGGAAACGGTTCCACCTAAGTGATGAAAAAGAAATAATTGGTAAATACCATAAAAACTGAATAATCATTCTTATTTAAAATTATCTTTATTTTTGTAGATAAGAAACGGAGGAAATTACCTTTTACAAAGAACTGCAGCAATTGCAACCTAACTGGAGTAAAAAAAGCGTTGTGTCGCGCTAAGAAAAATGCCAGAATAATAAGGCAAAAGCTAATACAATTGAGGAAAAATCCTCAGGTATTGGTGAACCTCAAATATTTGAATAAAGAAACTAGAAATTTCTTTAGCAGCCAGTCCCGAAATCAGAAAAAAGAAGTGCTGGCTCTTTCCATTTACAAACAAAGTGGTAAAGGATACCGGTTCTTATCAAATTTCTTTTCATTACCATCCAGGAAGACGCTACAAAAACTGTTAGGGTAAACAAAATGTAACATTATTCTATTTATTGAACTAAAACTAGAACTAATAGTAGCACTATCACTAGAACTAACACTAGCTAGAAATTTTCGAAGTGATTTCGAGTCGTCTTCGATAGTGCTACTATTAATTCTAGTTTAATTACACCGGCCGTGAAAGCCTTCGTACTTATATTCTATTTATGTTACCAAATTTTATTAGTTTTGTGAATAATAAATTATTATGTTGAAATTAGATCTTTCATTTAAAATATATTTATTTCCTTTTT